TAAAGGTTGTGTGATACTATATATGCGATACAAGGTACTGTTATGTGATATAGGCTTTATAGTAGCATCTATATAACATATCTAAAACAGCAGCATCAACATCTATAAATATATGATAAAACAGATTACTTACAAAACCGTTTGCATCAACAGTACTATGACGATTTTACTGAAAATAATGTTGGATAATGCTTAAGCTATCATTTAAATACTAACGTCACTGCAAATATGACTTTCTGTCAAAAAATTATTCAGTGCGTTTAACAAATTTCAACCAGTATTTGCATAATTATGCTTTTGATTATAATAGTATCAAATGACCCTTGGCTCCTATCTAATTCAAGACCAATGTTTAATGTTTGACTCTAAAAGAATCTCGGGTATACATTACAAATATTAAAACTATATCCAAATACCCCTTCCACTATGCAACATCCTCACCATAGTTCTTGCAACATAAAAATAAGGAGATGTGGTATGATTGCTAATGAGACAACTATCCACTAAAGTTCAAATGAAGTTCAAAATGGATGTAAGCAATTATAGGCCACCGTACGGCCTTCAACAATGAGAAAAACTCAAACCGTTAAGTCGGCTTTGAAAGGTCCCGACATGAAAAATATGAAACAATTCAATTGAGAAAACTAAGGAACTAATATATAACGAAACAAAACAATTTACGAAAAAAAATATGACAGACATCAACCAACACCTGTTTTGACAGACACGAAGACTAATTATATAGGTAGTTTGGCATAAGGGGCTTGTTTTGTATATAGTTAATCAACTATGATACTTTTTTTTTAATATCCATCACTACATCAAAGATTTTGTCAACTCTAATTCGATGTGATTTTTTTTTTTCGAAATACTAAGGATTTTCGATTCCAGGAATAGATTACCATAGCTTTATTGGGCAAAACCTTTCGGAATTTTGGGTCCTCAATTCTCTTCAACTTCCTACTGTATTTGGCCTTTTTAACTTTGTTGATTTGAGCGTCAATGATGAGTCTTTTATAGACGAAACGCGCGTCTGGCGTACAAAATTTTAATCCTTGTATCTATGAGGAGTTTATTTATATAAAGACAGAAAGGAACGTTTCTACGATTTTTGATTTGGGGAGCAGATAGTACATTTATTGTCACCTTCGTCCATACATTTCTATCATTCTTTAAAAATTTTGATCGTCTGTGGAAAATTCTTGTAAATACCGACTAAGGCAAAGTTACCCGAAAAAGTACCAAGTAAGACGCCCAAATCATCTTAACCCAACTAAGAACCAATAAATATAAGTTTATTAAGAATAACATACCAAAATAAAGCTACCCTGCCCCTCCAATATATCAACATTCACAGATAAATCTAATTCGGCATACATGATACCATCATACAAAAAGAAACTAACACTCCGCCCTTCAGGATACCAGCATACACAAGAAAGCTAACACTCCGACCTTTGGGATACCATCATCTACAAGAAAACTAACACTTCGCCCTTCAGGATACCATCACACACAGAGAAAGCTAACACTCCGCCCTTCAGGATACAAGCATACAGAAAGAAAGCTAACACTCCGCCCTTCAGGATACAAGCATACACAAAGAAAGCTAACACTCTGCCCTTCAGGATACAATCATACACAAAGAAAGCTAACACTCCGTCCTTCATGATACCATCATACACAAAGAAAGCTAACACTCAGCCCTTCAGGTTACCAGCATACAAGAATAAAACTCTGCCCTACAAAAAAAAAGACATCCAACTCATTCCAACTATAATCAACGATCCAAATAAGATAAAGCTAACCCATCCAACCAAGATACCAGCATACAAAAATACCAGTAAAGCTATTTAACTCGATATATCTCAACATACAAGAATAACGCTTATTGAGCTCAACAAGAAACAAGGCCGAAGAAACAAACATTCAAAAGTAAAGCTAACTCCATGGCGGGTAAGGGTTGTCCTGCGAGATAATTTTTTGTGCTGGTGATTTAGTCACAATCGGTGCTGGTGGATTTGTTTACATTGTATCAGAGCGGCAACAAAACAACCATTATGTTCCCTCGCGTGGTATATTATAAAGATTTTTTAATGCAAAAGTAGTTAAAATTCGCAAAACGACATTGTCCTGATATTATGCTGGTGGTAAGAAAATATGTCCTGGTTCTGTGCACCTGTGTCCTGGTTCTGTGCTCTTATCTTTTTTAGTAATAGGTGACAAATACTCAGAATCAATATTGCAGAAAATTTATGTAATTGACAGACAAGACAACTAGCATACATTTGGTGGATGAAATATTTCAGATGAGAGATTAAACAACGGCTTCATTTATATAGAATACAATAAACAAAAAACAAATATGATCGAAAGCAACCACCATCAGTATAAGAAAAACTACAAAAATCAGTTGAAAAGGGCTATACCGTGTTATCATTAATAATAGAAAAGCATCCCAAGTTTCTGGTTATTATAGAATAGAAAACTTACATTCATTTATTTTGGTCTTTGTATGAGTATACCACATCTTTTTTGGTAGCTCACCTTGACCAAAGGGCTTAAGTGAGCTTTTCTTATCACTAGGCGTTCGTCGTCAGTCGTCGTCGTCTGTCATCGTTAACTTTTTAAAAAATCTTCTCTTCTAATACTACTTGGCCAGTTTGAACCAAACTTGGCCATAATTATCATTGGTGTATGTAGATTATTTCGGGGCCTTTTATAGCTGACTATGCGGTATGGGTTTCGCACATTATTGAAGGCCGTACGGTGGCCTATAGTTGTTAACTTCTATGTCATTTGGTCTCTGATGGAGAGTTGTCTCATTGGCAATCATACCACATCTTCTTATTTTTATATTAGTTACCACTTGAAGTGACTTTTTGAAACCGGAAGTAGCTGATCATTTCCCTTATTTCAAAGACTAGATATTTATGGAATCTGTGCAAGATAAGTTATTTTCTGACACCGATTTTTTAATGAAGATGTTAAGCCATTTCAATAGATATTTAATGGTGTGTCTTTCTATGTTGTGATGTTACACTGTTGTTTCAGGTAGGGTGAAGGTTGGCGCCTATTAAAACGTTTAAACCCGCTGCATTTGTTTACACCTGTCCTAAGTCAGGAATCTGATGTTCAGTGGTTGTCGTTTGTTGATGTGGTTCATAAGTGTTTCTCGTTTTTTATATAGTTTAGACCGTTGGTTTTCCTGTTTAAATGGTTTTACACTAGTCATTTTTGGGGCCCTTTATAGATTCCTGTTCGGTGTGAGCCAAGGCTCCGTGTTGCAGGCCGTACTTTGACCTATAATGGTTTACTTTTACAAATTGTGACTTGGATGGAGAGTTGTCTCATTGGCACTCATACCACATCTTATCATAGATATAAGAAGATGTGGTATGAGTGCCAATGAGACAACTCTCCATCCAAATCAAAATATGTAAAAGTAAACCATTATAGGTAAAAATACGGTCTTCAACACGGAGTCTTGGCTCACACCGAACAGCAAGCTATTAAGGGCCCCAAAAATTACTAGTGTAAACTATTCAAACGGGAAAACCAACGGTCTAATTTATATAAAAAACGAGAAACGAGAAACACTTGTGAACCACATCAACAAACGACAACTACTGAACATCAGATTCCTGACTTAGGACAGGTGCAAACAAATGCAGCGGGTTTACACGTTGTAATGGTACCAAACCTTCACCCTTTTCTGAAACAATAGTGTAACATCACAACATAGAAAGACACACTATAAAATATCAAGTGAAATAGCTTAACTCAGTCAAAGGACATATTAACACCAGTGAACATACACTGAACAAATAAATTTGATCTATGATACAATGTAAATACAAAATAAATAAACTAAGGGAAGAATAATAAAAGTAACATGTTATACCGCTATGAAATGTTAAACAATTTAAGAAAAACAATATGCTCGAACAAAAATATCAGCCATTTGCAATTAATTTAAACACAGTTAAATGAAAATAATTTTGTTGTTAGGTATACGTGTACAGTTCAAATAGAGAAAGGAAATATTTTTACGAAATAAATAATTTTGATGTCCATAGTACGAAGTGAAAATTTATAGTAATACCAAACACTTATCAAAGCTGGTGTATAGACCAGATATAACCCTGAATAACATTAAATAACAAAAAAAAAAGCATTACAATTTATTTAGTATCAACAGGTCAAATAAACAAGAAAGTACGATTTGAGAGTACTCGCAGTTACTGATCTATATATGGCATTTTTGTCATTTAAAAATTTTGGCATATTTGTGTAAAATTTCATTTAAATCAACATGTGAGTGAAAGACCTATAATTATTCTCTGAACAATTTGTTTTTAATCCTTTTAATATTTCTTTTACCTATTTTCCCTTAGAATAATTCGATTGATAATATTTGGCCCTGTAGTTTCAGACAAAGATTTTAGTTAAAGTTTATTTCGACGGCGAGAAAAAGAGACGCCAAGTGATATCAAACTGCTACGGTTTTTCATCAAAAAATATTCTTGCAGAATTGTATACAGAATGCGGACTCCTAGAGCACTTTTGTTATTCTTTTTCCGTCCTAGATGTTTTTAAAATGAGCACTTTTGTGTTACGCATACTGAAACAGCGTAGAAGGCCATTTTTTTTTAAATTGCTTGCATTTGAACCCATAAGAAGCAAAATCAAAACATTAACAATCTTTTTTTTTTTCGTTTTTTCTTCGAGAAAACGTCAAAAATCGTCTTTTTCGTCTTTTTTACATATTTTTTTACAATCACCAGCACCGGTCAGGACCAAATCATCAGCACATAACAATCTCTCGCAGGACAATCTTACCATCCGTGAACTCGGTCGTAAAAGATACCAGCATAAAGATATAAAGCTTACTCGGACCTACAAGATACCAGCATTAAAAGTTTACCTTTTTACGCTAATATTGAAAAGTCTACATTCAGATGTTATAATTCTTGTACCTAAAACAACACATAATCAAGCTAATTTCAAATAATTTATTTGGAAAAAATATCTTGAAATTTAACAGCTGCTACCAGAATCTGTACTTGGACAACCTCTACTGTAGACTAATGAAACATCTGTTGAAATAGAAAAGGTTATAAATATTATATTCATACTTTATTTAACAAGTGGGTTTTCAGTCGTCTTTTTTAACACCAGATAATTGCAAACCCAAACTGTATCTGACTTTACAGAGTATGTTGCTGTCTTTCAGTCGACGTCTCTTTTGGAATATGCACTTGTATAGAATTAGTAGTAAGGTATCGTGATGAAATAAATATTTCTTTCCAAGTAATAAGATGACATAAAAATTATGAATATACCTCCGATATGAATATGCGTCGTTTGCACTTTGCATCATGGAAACTAATTGAACTAAAAAGTTGAAATTTGCTTAAATGCCCTACAGCTATTGTTCTCAGATGAAAAAATATTGTAAACATCATTACGGTCTCTCATGATCCGGGACTTGTTGCTTAAAATAGCAAAACGAAAAAAAAATGTCTAGTTTGAAAGTATACATACACGTTATTTGCTTATCCTACAAATCCGGATCCTGGATAGTATGATCCAGAATTGTACACAGGTGCAGAACCAGATATAATTGATGTTTGAGGTGCATAGGCTGCACTGGAAAGATATCCGCCACCAACACCAGCAACACCTCCAACACCACCAAGAGCACCAAGACCGCCAATACCACTGTAGCTAGGATAGCCACCACCAAGACCTCCAATACCACTGTAGCTAGGATAGCTACCACCAGCTAAATATGATCCAGAATTTCCGTATAGATAGTTGCTAGATCCGCCATATGATGGGTATGTAGATGCACCGCCAATGTAGGAGCCTGAGCTATACGGCATAACGCTACCATAAGTTCCATAACCGCCGCTATATCCACCACTGTATCCGCCTTGAATATAATAATATTATTTGGATAAACTTGGATCGATATGTATCTAACAATTTTTCGATATATGCTCTATATTTTTATAAGTGACATATACTTTTTTCCAAAAAGAGAACCTATTACTGATTTTTGGGCGGACAATGTAAACATAGATGTGATAATGTGTTCTGAAATTTTGAAATACAGATTTATTCTTTATGATATTGCCTCTATTATATTCGAATGTCATCTTCATTGGTTATTTCCCGTGATAATAACCCAGTTTCTGAAGGAACATCGAAGTTACCTGAAAAACATTCTTTACAGTATCAAATTGATTTTCTGGTCATAAAAATCATCTCCTTTCTAAATACAACTTTCAGTGTTTCGCATGGATATTCATAAGTTCGCCTGAAAACGTTTTTGTAAAAAGAAATTACGTAAAATATAATAAGAACAGCGTTATCATATAATTTTTATCATTTTTTTTTAAGAAACTAGAACTGAATCTTAGGAGTTTTGTGTAAAATTTAATTCAAATGGTAATGTTGTCATGTGAACAAATATTATGCTCAATTTACTTTTCTATTGTTTGGTTATATCTCAAAGACACACCAATCTTCCGTTTACTTAGTATGTATATATATAGATGTTTAGAAGTTCGGGAGAAACACTAATTTTGAAGGATATGCACTTGTGGTTTACACTTTTGAAACGAAGCTGGGGACTCCGGCAATTCGAATGGACGAAATCTGACATCTTAATAGCAAAATACCTATTTAAATATACGAGAACAACTGACATGTTATGAAAATTATTAAAAATAGTTATGTTTTAATTGTTAATTTGTTTATTTGTCTATAAATAGGTGCACGTACTATTCATATCATGTGGTTAACATATCATCGAGACAATATAAACCAGTTTTTCTGTTAAATTGTATTTTTTAAAGCGATGGAGCGTCCCACCATTTTTCCTTTCAGCACACATTTTTGCTTTCACAACTGCTCCTGAATCGCTAGACAAAATTTTCTGAAACTTTCACAGAATGTTACTCAAGTGACTTATTTTTGCACATTCTATTTTATTCTTCGCTCGAATGCTTTTTGGGTTAATTTGGCATTGCATGAACTGTGTATACATTTGTTTCCGCTTCTCTTCTTCCTTAAACCCCTTTTCAGAATTCAATCAAAATTTCTCAAATCTTCACCATAAATTACAAATTGTGCACCTCCTATTTTTTTTTTTTTTTCATCCAAATTGTTTAAGGGGGTTTCCTTAGCAAATCAGGGACTTTTCAAGGAGCGAAGGAATCATTTTGTGAGCTTTGCTCGCAATACCTCTAGATTTTTTATGCTTTTTAAATCATTATTTAGATGGATGGACATTAAAATGTATACACCGAAAGATTTTCCTTACATTTTCCGGAAAGAGTTATTGTATAATTTTCAAAATTCATATAAAAATGTTACCGTATGATGAAAAGATATATAATAACAAAAGGGGCTTTGTGGTATTTGTCTAGGGACCTAGTTCACATTTTGATATCACGTAATAGGTAAAATAGTTTAGAAATATTAAGTGTACAAGTCTCTTAGATTTCAAATTCCACTGGGTTCAATTAACTTTAAGGATTACCCCAGTGAATAGAACAAATAAGGGGACATTGGCCGTATCTACCGAAGATCAGCCGCTAACAACAAATTCCCAAAAGTTTAAAACCATAAGATATAACTAAAGCCATTAACCACAGATTCCCTGAAGATTAAACTTATGAAATATGACTAAATCCATTAACCACAGATTCCCTTAAGATTAAAACCATGAAATATGATTAAAGCCATTAACCACAGATTCCTTGAAGATTAAACTTTTGAAATATGACTAAATCCATTAACCACAGATTCCCTTAAGATTAAAACCATGAAATATGACTAAAGTCATTAACCACAGATTCCCTTCAGATTAAAACCATGAAATATGACTAAAGCCATTAACCACAGATTCCCTTCAGATTAAAAACCATGAAATATGACTAAAGCCTATAACCACAGATTCCCTTCCGATTTAAACCATGAAATATGACTAAAGCCATTAACCACAGATTCCCTTAAAATTAAAACCATGAAATATGACTAAAGCCATTAACCACCATGGCTATATACGTCGCTGACTCGGGAACAGGAACAGTCGTCTTTTGGATGAATACCTACAAATGTAGCCCATCCTTTCTAATATAGATCAGAGGAATAACAAAAACACCAATAAAAGATGGAAAAAAACATAAGTTCGGAAAAAAAACAATAAACAGGCAGCAATGAAAAAAAGGATAGTGTGGATTTATGTATGCAGCAAACGTCGTACACGCACTTGACATAACGGTTATTAACCAAAATCAAACGAGCTCCAAATTTATCTTCTCTTTATCTATAAACAATCCGTATGAGATTTTCTTAAGTTTTGGTATAACAATCCTATGACGTTGAGATGAAGAACAGCAATAAAAGCGCTGTTCCTTAGCTTTTAGTGTGTTTTTGCTGTCACGCGGTATGTACTGATTTTGTGTCATGGATGGATACCCCATATCCTTTGTTTTTCTATTATGAAATTACATGGAAATACAAGGACCAGAGCCTTTATAGTTAAAATTTCTCCCAAGCGTTGGATTGGATGAGTGTTAGATTTTTTTGTACGCTTCAAGCGTCAGCTGCCAAATATATTCAGTTTCCATATTCAGTACAAGCACTAATAATCATTTATGCAGGTTTAGCTTTTTTTGTCAAAAAGGGTGGAAAGCCGAGGGAAATTCATTGTAAAAAGAGGGTGTCTGGTAGAAAATGTACAATGCAACTGTGAACATATCCCATTTAGAAACCTATAAAACTTGCTACAGGGAATTAAGGTTTAGCATGCGTAGTAGTAGGTAACCATGTTTCTATTCCTTAGTCATCCTCGTCCGTGGGCTGTTTTTGAATGAACGCAACAAAAAGTAAGAAGTACATCTATAGGTTTTTATCTAAAAACAACAAGTGATAGATATATGGCTATATTGTACTTTCACGAATCTGTATATGCTATTTCAAAGGATTTCCCACACTTTAGTGGTGATGTATAGTTTGCTAAAATCAACGTAAATTTCGACTTTGGTGGATATTTTCCCCGTTAGCAATTATACAATATCCTCTAATTTTAGATCTTATATTATTTCTCATAATCTATTTTCCATTTTTATTTAAACAAAAATTAAGACAGTCCAAAGTCAAGTCAGGCTTAAACAAATGAAATATGTTGAAAATATGTTCCTGAATAAGTTAATTCAAGTTATTTTTTTACACAAAACTTTCTGTTAAACAATTTTTGAGAAAGTAAAAATAAATATCAGATATGTTATAAGAAGGAAATTTCCTGATACTCTAAATGTTAATATTACCAATATTAAAATAGTCTGACATACCTCCGTATCCGCCACCGTATCCACCTCCGTATCCACCACCGTATCCACCTCCGTATCCACCACCGTATCCTCCTCCATATCCTTTTCCGTATCCACCACCGTATCCTCCTCCATATCCTTTTCCGTAACCACCACCGTATCCTCCTCCATATCCTTTTCCGTATCCACCACCGAATCCTCCTCCATATCCTTTTCCGTATCCACCTCCTCCATATCCCATCCTATAACCCCCACCATATCCTCCATAACCTCTTCCGTGTCCTCCGCCATATCCTTTACCATGACCATACCCGCCAGCCTCAACAAAGGCAACGACAACAGCAAGGGCAATTACTAACTTCATGGTCGCCATACCTAATTATTTAACTTCAAACAATGTAATAATGTTATTCTAAAAACATTGTAACGGCTTTGATTTATTCAGACATATATATTGAGTTTCTTCAGACTTTTTAAGAATGTCATTCATTTTTGCGATAATTACCCAAAATTAGCCCAAATTAACAAAAAATGCAGTTTTGATTCACCTTTAGGCATTTGAAATTGTAAAAATGTTAAAAGATGTGCCATAATGTTATTCTAGGTACAAACATGAAGCTGTTATGTTGTCAATTTTATTGAAGACTGGAAGACTTTTTTGGAAATAGCCCTGGTGGGAAATAATTCTTGGGGAATTGGCTCTACCTCTTTGAAAGGTGGTTTACTTAAAACTGAAATCCAAACAGTGTTCATACATAGTTTCCTCAAATTAGAATTATTTATAGGTCCGACCACATATACTCTTCATAAACGACGATTTTTTGACAAAATGTAATATAATTTTTTTTTCAATATATCAATTCCAGTTTGTTTTGCTTTAAAAGAGTTGCGGGCTTATTTTGACTATTTAGCTGATTTATCAATAAGATGGATGATGATTGGTTATTGTTGTTTGTTTAACGTCCTGTGGCAAATTTTCATGCATATTCAGGATAATTTTAACTAATATCAAAACTAATCTATTTTGTTCCTGATGTGCCTCAATTTTTTTTTTCGAACTAGTAAAATAATAAAATGTGCAATATTAAACAAAGACTTGTGAAAAAGACTAAATAAGACAATACCTTAATTTGACCTGTGTGATCCTAAAAAAGCGCTGCTGTTCAGTGCTAGTAGAATTAGTTTATATACGTCCGACAGAATCACGTGATATTTCCGTAAATAGATGCTCTAACCGGGTTACTTGTCGGAATGTTTGGTAATATTCATCATATGTGTATTGCCTAAGTAGGGGTTAAAACAGGTCACGGGTGTCAGGGTAGTTGACAAATCACTTCAAGATTCTTCCTCCTTTAAGAACGTTTCATAATAACATGATACATGTGTTTACGTTATTAACACCGGATTTACTGGTAAAAACATTTTCTACGATTCCTGACATTGATAACTTAATCAAAACTTATTTACTACATAGTAAATTGTAATAACGTACTTTTCTTTATCTACTTTGCAATCTAAGTACCAGCTATAACTGGTTATAATTTGTTAATTACTTGGCTTGGTTTACTTCCTCCAAATCAAATGACTGGAACTTTCATCGTCTAAAGAAACACATCAGCTTTCATAATATATCTAACAGCACAAAAGGTAAACGGCTTGCATGTCACAAAGACAACCACTACATTGACAGGACTTTGATAATGCTGTCCAATCAATGTTTCGTGAACAATATTTGTCCATTGTTCCTATCTAACCCTATACTATTCCATTCTTTTTTAGCAGAGAATATTATATCTATGCAGTTCCTGGTATTCAGCCATTGCAAAAACAATGGACTCATGAAAGAGAGATTCTATTCTCTTTTATTGTCTGTTCTGTTCTACTCAGACATTACATAACTCATAGAGAGAGGTTCTATTCTATTCTACTCTATTATTGTATAGCCCCCATCCAACAACCTCCACATTGGCGATTTTGCAAGGATTATCAAGGATTTGTATAAAAATCATTGGGATTAAATTCCAGTAACTCTAGAATTACAAATCCTAACATCGTTAAGATCCTGATCTTGAAAGAGCCAAATATGTTTTTTTATTTGTTTGTTGGAAAGAAACAATAAACCAGCTGAATTCACACGAGAAGTATGTTGATGGCCGGGCAAAAAATCCGCTAGAGAAGGCCGTTACTCTGGGATGGTAACCCAAGGCTCCAAGGAGATTGAATCACTTTGCCTCATCATCTCATTAAGAAAAATCACATACCTAATTAAATTGAATTTTTACCAGATAACATTTTTGTTCGCAATGGAGATTCCGTATATCGTTAAGTTATCGGAATTCCAATGGGGACTAACTCTGCACAAATTATTGCGGACCTGTTTCTGTATTGTTACGAGTTACAATTTATGACTAAATCAGCAAAGACCCACCGAAACAACTTCTGATACAAAAATTTAATAACACTTTCAGATATTTGGATGATATATTGGCTCTCAATAATGACGACTTCAGTATGTACACTAAAGAGATTTATCCGGTTGAATTGACTTTAAATAATGCTAATACTAACAATGAACACTGCCCTTTCCTGGATTTTTGTCGAGCCTGCGACTTTTGTCGCAAAAGCGAGACATAGCGATCCTACATTCCGTTGTCGTCGTCGTCGTCGGCGTCCACAAATATAAGCTTGTTTATGATCATAAGATAGTTTCCAGAAGTAAATTTTGTAAAAAAAATCCTGTTTATCCGTATTTTACTTATAAATGGACTTAGTTTTTCTGCCAGTTAACATTACATTCACTCTGTAGTTAAAGTTTTTAAAATTTTAATAACTTTCTTTAATAACTTTCTTTAAATATAAATAAATAAATAAATAAATAAATAAATAAATAAATAAATAAATAAATAAATAAATAATCTTTATTTCAAGAGGATAATCCCATTAGTTAAAACTAATCTTCCTGAGAGTCCTCAAAATAATAATAACATATTTATAAGTACATACAGTATTATAATGATATATTATACACAATATACAATTGTATCTAGATAATAATGAAAAAGCATATTAGTTTGCACAATATCCTGGATTTCTACCAATTTTGGACAGAAGCTTGTTTATAATCATAATCATAATCATAAGATAGTATCCAGAAGTAAATTTTGTAAAAAAAAATCCTTTTTATCCGTATTTTACTTATAAATGGACTTAGTTTTCTGTCAGTTAACATTACATTCACTCTGTGGTTAAAGTTTTAGAAATGTTAATAACTTTCTTAAACTATCCTGGATTTGTACCAAACTTGGACAGAAGCTTGTTTATGATCAAAAGCTAATATCTAGAAGGAAATTTTGTAAAGATTTATTTCCTGTTTTTTCGTATATTACTTATAAATGGACTTTGTTTTTCTTCCAGTTAACATTACATACAGTCTGCAGTTAAAGTTTTTAAAACATTTATTAGATTCATAAACCATCCTGGATATTTACCAAACTTGGACAGAAGCTTCATACAATCAAAAGACAGTATCTAGAGGAAAATATAAAATTATCTTCTTTATCATTTGTTCATTCAATAAATTTATGTTTCAACTGTTATAAATCTATAGATTTGATTGCATACTGTATTCATTTTTTACAAGCATAACTTTTTTCATACATTTCAAACGTTTTATTTAATTAACTGTTCTATTATGCATGTGCATTCTCCTATCACACCGAAAACATAGACAACAGCAAAAGTAGGCGAGACACTGGGTTCCGCGGAACCCTTACGAATGTATATATCTATATCTTTAACGGGAAGCTTAATACTAAAATTTACGATAAAAGAGATGATTTTTCATTTCCTATTGTTAATTATTCATTTATAGATAATGAGTTTCTCATGGTGTTTATGTATCTCAACTTGTTCGATTTCGCTCGTGTATGTAACAACTTACTTGATTTTAACGAAAGAAATCTCTCTACTACTGAAAAAGTATTACACCAGGATTTTCGATATCACAACTTGTCAAAACATTTACTCAATTTTATCATCGGTACAATGAAACCATTCGTAAATATAAATCAACATGCAGACATCTTATACGTCCAGGTATTTCACATTCCAACTTTTATAGCAATATTCTATACAAAGCACAAAATGTCGTCATTCACCTCAAAAGCTAAGCAAACCTTTAAACAGACTTATTCAGAAGGGATATAGTTACGATACTGTTGTCAGGTCATTAAAGATGACAATTTTTGGATTTAATATTGATTCATTCATAGGGTCTTTGCATAGGAAATATACCATACTATGGAAGCGCATATGGTACACCCCTTGTAAAGTTATTTTGTTGGAAATAAGTCGGAATTATTAGTTATGTTGTGTGTAATAAGCTGGAATCAAATCATCATGTGGAGTCTGTGCTTCGGATGTTTTAAACCATCCATGGAGTTCAAGTTCAAATTAAAGTTCGAGTTGATGTTCAGAGTTATTTGTCATAAAAAGGGGGAACGGCAGTCAAATAATAGAAAAAAAGTACTAAAAAAAATAACAATATTTCGGACATAAGGGGGATATACCCACATCACTTAGTCCGGCTGTTTATTTTCCTTAGATCATACATGCACTACAATAATAACAAACACAAAGCAATGCATTTAGCCGTGCAGACTATTTTAATTTTGTTCCCACTAATTTGTCATGTAAATTATTTGATACTCTTATAAGACCTATTTTGACATACAACTCTGAAATTTGGTTTATAAATTCCACCATGTTTGCCACCAAATGAACATCACGTTATGATTTTTGATAGAGGGTATCCCAATCACCAATCTTGCACAGTTCCGAAACATGTTGCTTTGTAATTTCAGAGATTTTTAAATATTGGTCAATCAGAATCAAAGATTACCTGGTGGCCATGATTTTTCGTCCTAATCGGAACGGAAATGAGAACGTTGCATTGGAACCTTTCACACCATTATGTCAAGTTTGGCTAAATATTGCTAGTTGTGTTGCTTCCATAAGTTTCCAAATGACGAGAATAGCAAAAACTGGGAAAAGTGAAACTACTACATATATAGAAAGAAGTGGTGTATTATTTGTGTAGTTAAATATATATGGTTCCAACCGTAGCTCTCGCTAAAAATGATTTACATAATCCGGATAAATAAAACAAAATATCTGAAATTCTTGATAAATTCAGTTCTCTTAGGACTAGAGTAGAAGATTTATAGAATCGGGTACAATGAAATGATCCTAGATATGACTGGTAAATAATTGATTCAAGGATTTCGTTACCATAAATCATTTAATACCGTTCCTATTTTTTTTCATAGATACAGAGATTCAGTTTAAAAGTTTGGCTGTGCCTGTAGAAAATGTATTGCAAACGGAATATCACATCCTGATTTTTACGGTTATGTTGTTTATCGAGCCCATAAATTTAGATACGATCCATGAGAACTTATCGATCCGTCAAATAAGCTTAGTCTTAAAGGTTAACACTTCAACACTGTAATTGGATATTTGAATAGGTTGTTTTTGTCGGTATAAATATTGATTTTGTTTTCAATAAATCAAAACACAACTACTATTACTATTCAGCTATGAACTTCACGGTCCTACAATTCTGTAGATACCTATATTGTGGCATATATTAGGCTTAAATACACGACTTTTTAAAGTTGTTTTTGGCTTTGAACTTGCTTACAGTAGCTGCGAGTACGTACATACCTGTACTTTGTGTATTTAATGTTTTTGTGCTTTTTATCGATCAAATGAGTTAAGACATTTTATTATTTTGTGCTGCTCCATACCTTATAAGCGTGTCTGTTCCAAGTGGGGAACCTGTAATTCAATGAATGTATTTGGTTGCTGTATATTGTGTTTTTTCGTGTTTGTTTTTTTCCACATTAATGAGGCCATCAGTTTTCTTGTTTGAATTGTTTTACATTTCTTATGTCGGGGCTTTTCATAGCTTGCTATGCATTATTGGTTTTGCTCATTGAAGGCCGTCATGGCCTGTAGTTGCTAACTTCTACGTCATTTCGGTCTCTGGTGGAAAGTTCTTATTAACAATAATGCCACATCTTATTTTGATAGAGCCTTTAAAGAGTTTGAGTCGCCAGATTGAATCTGCATTGTATGTTCATTTTCAACAGTGGTCACTCTCCGCTACTCATGACTATAATTCATGACTAAGACCTCGTTTTGGTTGATCTTGTATTGCTGATCACTTTTTTGTTTTCAGTTTATAGGCTACTCCGAGTGTTTGCCCAAAAAACAAACATTGGTAAAAATTGTCACTCAAGAGCAAACATTTCATTAGAAGTGGGGTTACAATTTCGTCTTTGCTGACATGTATGAGCAGTTCTTGTCTTGTTGATCATATTTGCTGTTTTTCTCTTCATCTTCTTTAGTTTTGCCCAACACATAAAACATGTAAAATCGTCATTTGAGGGCAATAACTCCTAAATGAAGTCAACCGTTAGTAACAAATTCAGCAATCTTGACTTATTTGTAGATCTGGTCTTGTTCAGCATTTTTGCTGCCTACTTTTTTTTAACTACTTTAGTTTTTGCCAAATATTTAAACTACAGGCTCTTAAGAGCCTGTCTCACTCACCTAGTGTTATGTGCATCTTTCACATGTGACACTCTCCAACATTGTGGACAAGAACAGAATTCATGACAATAATCTCTTGTCTTTTTAATCATTTTTGCTATATAAAGTAGCTATCCATCGATGGTTTTCACTATAATCAGCAGAAAACTAATAAAATGTTCTTCTGGGCGCAGCTTGATACGACTGCAGAGGTCGAACACTGAATAAGTTTTGGAAAGTATGGACACTACATTCAATCTTGATATAGCTCTGAATTGGGATTGTGATTAAAAATTTGACACAGCAAAGGTTTCTGGCACAGAATGAATATGGTCAAGGAACTGAAAATTTTGAAATTGGACTTTTACCTCTTATGGTCCAATTTCCAAGATCTAAATACATGGTTAGATTAAGCATATCCAAGTACACCAAGAACTTAATTTATTTATTTATTAATGGTCAAGTTAGATTCAGCATATCAAATAATCCCATACATTAATTTTTGGTTAAAATCAAACAAAGTTTAATTTTAGACTTCAATTTGGATCAACTTGAATACTGGACCCCAAATCCAAAATCTAAATACATGTTAAGATTCAGCATATCAAAGAACCCCAAGAATTCATTTTTTGTTGATATCAAGCAAAGTTTAATTTTGATTGGACCCTTTGGACCTCAATGTGAACCTTCCTTTTATGGTATGAAACCTTGTGGTACAAATTCATAAAGATCCATAGACTTCTACTCAAATTATTGACAGGAACCAGAAAATCCTAGTCTTTGGGCCACTTTTTCCCTATATGGTTTGGGCCATTACCCCCCATTAATCAATTCCAACTTTCCTTTTGAAATATGGAACCTTGTGGTACATTTTCATAGTGATCCATACACTTATACTCAAGTTATTGTCTGGGAACCAAATGTCTTTGAACGACAACGATGACGACGATGCTGACAACATCATAACATTATATGACTGCAAAAATTTTACAATGTATAATAATGGATAAAAATCGCCATTAAAAAACAAAAAATTCCAATAAGGAGCAAACTTATAATTACAGCCAGTGGACTTATTTGAAGATCTTGTCTTGCTGATCATTTTTGCATATCTAAGTTTCTATCCATCTATGATAGTTTTTCAGATATTAGGCATAAATGCAAAAAAATGATACACATCTGTATCAAAATGCAATAACTCCAATAAGGAGTTGTCTGATGATTTTGACCATGATGACTAATTCACAGATCTTGTCTTGCTGATCATTTTTGCTATAGTATCTAAAGTTAACAGACAGATGACGACGACAGACGTCCTTAAAGAGCCATCTATAAGGAGTCAACAAACAATTTCTAATACCTTTGCAAATTTGTAAATCCTGACCTGTTAATAATTTTTTTTTTTTATCTTCTATATTTTTTACCAAAATGCAAAAATTGTGAGGGAAAAAAATTCATTTAGGGGCATTTTCTCCTATAAGGAGTTGATAGACGATTTGGACCATGTTAACTAATTTGTAGATCATGTCCAACTGATCATTTTTGCTGTATATAATTTCTTTAAACAAGAGTGCACACGCTGAAATGTCTCGCCTTCTTTACTAATCATTGATATTATGTTGATAGTCCTAAATATAAAGCTTTATTACAACTGTCACATAAACTTAACATTAACCAAGTAAACTAAACATTGACCAATGAACCATGAAAATGAGGTCAAGGTCAGATGAACCATGCTGGGCAGGCATGTACAGCTAACAATTCTTCCATACAACAAATATAGTTGACCTATTGCTTATAGTTTAAGAAAAACAGACCAAAACACAAAACCTTAACACTGAGCAATGAACCTTGAAAATGAGGTCAAGGTCAAACAAAACCTGCGTGACTGACAAATAGATCATAAAATATTTCCATGCACCAAATATAGTTGAACTATTGCATATAGTATAAGAAAAAAAGACCAAAACTCAAAAAACTTAACTTTGACCACTGAACCATGAAAATGAGGTCAAGGTCAGATGACACCTACCCGCTAGACATGTACACCTTACAATCATTCCATACACCAAAAATAGTAGACCTTTGGCATACAGTATAAGAAAAACAGACCAAAACACAAAAACTTAACTATAACCACTGAACCATGAAAATGAGGTCAAGGTCAGATGACACCTGCCAGTTGGACATGTACACCTTACAGTCCTTCCATACACCGAATATACTAGACCTATTGCTTATAGTATCTGAGATATGGACTTGACCACCAAAACTTAACCTTGTTCATTGATCCATGAAATGAGGTCGAGGTCAAGTGAAAACTGTCTGACGGGCATGAGGACCTTGCAAAGTACGCACATACCAAATATAGTTGAACTATTGCATATAGTATTTGAAAAAAAGACCAAAACTCAAAAACTTAACTTTGACCACTGAACCATGAAAATGAGGTCAAGGTCAGATGACACCTGCCCGCTAGACATGTACACCTTACAATCATTCCATACACCAAATATAGTAGACCTATGGCATACAGTATAAGAAAAACAGACTAAAACACAAAAACTTAACTATAACCACTGAACCATGAAAATGAGGTCAAGGTCAGATGACACCTGCCAGTTGGACATGTACACCTTACAGTCCTTCCATACACCGAATATACTAGCCCTATTGCTTATAGTATCTGAGATATGGACTTGACCACCAAAACTTAACCTTGTTCACTGATCCATGAAATGAGGTCGAGGTCAAGTGAAAACTGTCTGACGGGCATGAGGACCTTGCAAGGTACGCACATACCAAATATAGTTATCCTATTACTTATAATAAGAGAGAATCTAACATTACAAAAAATCTTAACTTTTTTTTCAAGTAGTCACTGAACCATGAAAATGAGGTCAAGGACATTGGACATGTGACTGACAGAAACTTCGTAACATGAGGCATCCATATACAAAGTATGAAGCATCCAGACCTTCCACCTTCTAAAATATAAAGCTTTTAAGAAGTTAGCTAACGCCGCCGCCGCCGTAGCCGCCGCCGCCGCCGGATCACTATCCCTATGTCGAGCTTTCTGCGACAAAAGTCGCAGGCTCGACAAAAATAAATAAATGGGGGAATTTGTCCATGGGACACGGATGATGCCCCCCTTTAATATAACATTATAAAGGGACATAACTCAAGAACCGTAGAAGTGACGCTACCCAAATTTGTACTTGATCAGTATTTTGAGGTGATAAGCATTGTGTATAAGTTTCATATCATTTGGTTGAGGCAAACTTAAGAAAGAGAACAGAAATGAAAAATTCAGCGATTTTTTTATTTGTAAAGGGGCATAACTCTAGAACAGTAAAAGTCACGTCACCAAAATTCAAACTTGATCTGTGTTTTGTGGTAATAAGCATTGTGTATAAGTTTCATAACATTTCGTTGAGGCTAACTAAAGTTAGAGAAGGGAAACCAATTTTGGGACATACAGACGGACAAGGGTAAAACTTAATGCCCCATCCGCAATGGCAGGGGCATAAAAATAGATTTCATGATAAGCCAAATGCCAAAAAAATGGTAGAAATTGTCATTTAGGGCAATAACTCATATAAGGAGTTGTCGGACAGTTTTGGTGTAAATAGACAATAGGTAGTTCTCAACATTCTGAACATTTATGGCTGTCAGATTTCTCTTTCTATAGGGTATTTTAAGATAATAGAAAAACTTGCATTTTACCCTTATGTTCTTTTTGGCCAATGTCTGCCCTGATAGTAACAAAATTGAGAATGGAAAGTAACAATGCATGATCATCGGACACATTTTTTCAAACTGTATACCCTTATACAAATTGTGGCCATGTTTGGTTCATTGGCCCAGTAGTTTCAAAGGAGAAGATTTTGGTAAAAGTTATGCCAATAGCTCACTTGACCCTTTGTGTCAGTTGAACCAAAAAGTAAGAAACTTCATATATCATATCTCTCTTTATTTACAATTTTAAATAACAGGGATTTCATCACAATGGTTATTACCTTAGAATTTTTATAGAAACCAAAACACTACCACTGCTGTGATCTGTATCCTGAGAAATTTCTATTAAGTTTAAATCATTGAATTTCTATTGTGTACCATTATATTAAAATACATCATAAATTTCAAAATGACACATTTCCCAACAAAATTATTACAGATGTTCAAATACCAAGTGTTTTTCTGAATATGTTTTTATCAGGAATCTAGTTTATATATGCATATTGTACATGGACCCTAGGGATTGACTGAATTACATTTGTTAATATGCAAAGTGTTTTGCCTAGATTAAACTCTCCAAGAAATATATACAAAACATGATTTTATAACAAAATACTGTAAAATATGCTGCACTATCATATCTGATGCGAAACTGAACAAATGTCAAGCATGTATATTAAATCTGGTAAATTAAACAATGCTTCCAAAATATGACCTCAAATGTTTCAGGAAATCTGGTAAATTAAACAATGCTTCCAAAATATGACCTAAAATGTTTCAGGAACGTTACATTACATGTCATTTTCACAAAATGCCTGAATGATGTAACAAAGATATGCGAGATGTATTATTCAACTCTATAACATTAGATAGGGTGTTGTAAATGTAAATAGAAGGTACTAAACTTAGTGTATAGAATGCGAATTGTCTTGTTTATCTCTTAAAACCCTGTCATAATTATTTAATACAATTTTAATCTCAATGGATTTCATTACACATTTTTTTTCTACCACTTTGCACACTCAAGTTACACATACATTATACTTATCATTTGCAAAGAACGTGTAGTAAAGAATTTAAATACAAAACAGGTTCTCTAAAACTTACCATTCAATATACAAAATGTATTTTCAATAATTCTAAAATTATTTAAAAAGACAGGAATTTCTACAATCTTCATTCCTCACCTATTCAAACAGAGGGATCATTTGAAACTTTTATTCCAATTATAAATCTGACAAAGAAAATGTTTACCTTTTGATCTACCTGTAGGTTTGTACAGTATCAATAGAGTTAGATCCTGAACTTTTATGCTATCAACACACTTGCAACTGAAAACAATGCACTATTCCAGATTTTGAGATGCCACTTAAGTGTTTTCTCTATACTCTCAATCAATCTCTTTTGGTCTAAAGCTACTTAGCATATTTACCTTTGTTTCATAAAAAAAGCAAAATATAAATCCATATTAGTATCTTACCCTGAATACATACAAAATTTCAATCTTTCTTAAATGTTTCAAAATACACAAGCCAAATGTAAGATCCACAATTGAAGTACATAGTTAAGAAAATGCAAGTCTGACTCATTAAAAGCATGCATAACTACATTTTACAAGAAGGGATAAAAGTTTGACTTCAACTCATTTGGTAGCTTTCAAATGTATAACTTTACACCATTGTATAACTTTCTGCTGATATTAACAATTAGCGTCCAAATTCAGGACAGAAATCTACAAAATCTAGTTAGATTGGAATCCATTTAATGGGATGAGAAGCAGATTCAGGCTCTCCCATTGTGTCAAAACTATCTTCATGACCACTTGACTATATATTGAAGTTCACCAAATCAACTCCTATATAAATATTACTCAAGGAACCCTTAAAGCAAAAATCAAGTACAGAGTACACTAAATTTATCATCAGCAAGCAATGGGTTTTGCTGAGAATCATCTGACAGATCGGGAGGAGAGGTAAACTGGAAACATGTCATTTTATTGCGGAATTTTCTCATTTAGAATCCTACTAAAATTTCATCTCAGAAACTCTAACACAAAGCAAGATTAAAGAGCTACACTGAGTACAGCATGGTGCTCAAACCCCAAATGTTGACATAAAAATTTTAAACAAGTTGAAGGGTATCTTAAAAGTGATTTTGGACAAATGTTAGAGTAGAAACCTGAAATGACTGTTCCAGAAGCCATTCACAATGTATGATAAAGACTCCTTATGGACATATCTTTGATTGTCAGATGTGGAAGTCTGCTAAAATGGTGAATCATTTCTGAAGTATTGTGTGTTACACAGTAATCTACTAAAAAGTATTCAATTCTTTGTACCATTAAAAAATGTTTGCCCCTACAATTAGAGATACACTAAATCATTTTTCTTATCCTAAATGCTCTCATCAAGAGAACATACAGAAACAAGTGCGTCCAAATTGCATGAAAGTGTTTTTTATCTCTTAAGCCCTAACAATGAAAAAATTGCATTTTAAATAGAAGTGCAAATTCTTGGCACCTTTTGCTTATAGCTGTAAGCATTGGTAAGAACAATGCAAAAAATAATAATGGCTGTCATAAATAGGTTCTTCTAAAGCTCTAAACTATTAAAGTGCATGCTGTCTTCTCTTTCACAAGGGTTCATGCTATTATTGTTTCTGCAAAAATGTACATTTTCTTTTAACAGCATAGAAGTTGATAATACAGTTTTCCTTGGTAAGTTGATAAGATTTGGAGTTTGTGTTCCTGTGTTTATACCTTGATATATTTAGCAGTATCGAGAAATGCCTAACAATTTTTGTATTTCATTAAAGCTTGAAACATATTTCTATGTACACTGTATAAGAACATTAATTAATTGAGTATATGGTTTTGACATTAATGGGTCCCCCTTGTTAGGATCAGACATGTTTTTTTCACATTAATTTCAATTTACTGTTACATAGATAAATAGTTTAAAAGGATAAAAATTAAAAAACAGAATATCAATCACTTAAATACAGGAAGGGTGTTTTTTTAGAACATATGATATGACATTTTAAAAATATGAATGCAAACATACTATGACAGTTTGTTGACTTTAAAGCAAACCAAGGGATTTCATCCTTTTCTTAGTATAACATATTATGAGAGTTGTTGAGCTGTACAAGTGGAATATTGATGTCTGATTTTCTACTTTAATAGTTAAAATGTCGATGTGATTCTGTTTCTGAGAGATCAAATTTTATTGCCTGCATTTCAGCTATATAATTCCCCAAAAATTAATATCTTGTAGAAATTAAAAGAGCCATTCTTTCCAAATCCTAGTGCATTAAAATACATGTAGGCATAGATATTCTATTCAAAATACACAGTATTTTTTGCTTATTAATTGCCATCTTCGATGTCTAAAATTCTTTTCCACTCAGAACACAGTTACACTCTAAAACCAATATCTATATTTTTTAATCATCTGCAGATGACACTTTGTCCTTATCACATCTTTAAAATTATCTATATGTACAAACAAAAATAATTTAATTCTTCATATACTCAACAACAACACTCTAAAAAGGATAGTAAAATTCACCGTAACCATAACTTCAAACGTAATGCGTCAACACCATTCAAATAATAACGGAATAGACGTTTATCTCGTACAAAACCTAAATTTTCATATAAATTCAGGGCAGCTTTATTTGTAATCTCTGTCTCCAAAACAACCTGAAATGATAAAATAACATTAAAATAGGAAAGACTGATTGATTATTGCTGGCTTTACCTCCAGTGGCTCATTTGAGAGATATTGAGGAATCATTTTAATATGAATTAAAGGTGAAAACTAATGAACCATAACCAAAGTAGACATTTGTATTAAGTAATTCTTCAGGAATATAATACAATGGTAAGTAACATTTAAACCAAGTATACATAAGATGTGTCAGTACTGACCAAATCATTGAAGGATGGGGAATAGACTGAAATTTGAAAAACAAGATGGTCATCAATTTTGGAAAATGGGGGTTATATAGACTTATATGGAGTTCAAGTTTGAAGGGACAGGGGTCTCAAATAATAAATAGAACCCCACCAAGCATAAATTCTCTAGGGAATACATTGGTACAATTTCAAAGAATGGCTACCTGAAATTTTCTGTTCTGCTGAACACCCATGCTAAGTGGGATTTCATTCAGCTGTTTTTTGATGTATTGAGAATGTTTAACGCATGTTTATGGTGTGCCAGACACTCATCACTGCATACATGTTAAAGAGCTAAAAGAACTACTTTTCAAAAGGATCCGATGATGAACTTTACTTAAGAATAGGTTTGTTTATTTTATTTTTTCTCTCCTGTACTATAATGTTTTCAAAGTTATTTGTGATTTTTGTGTAAAAAAAAAAGGGATGTTGATTTGGGTTTTGGGTTTCATGCTTTAGAGATAAATTTTAGTAAGTTTTGTATTTCTCTGTCTTGATTTGAAAGAAAGATTTTTGTTTGGTCTTTGTTGATAAAATGATAAAACACTAAAAATTAAACTAGAGGCTCCTGTGTTGCTCACCTAGGTCTATGTGCATATTCAACAAAGGACACTCTCCAACATTGTAGACGAGAATAGAATTCATGACAAAAATCTCTGTTTTGTTGGTTTATATTGTTGATTGTTTTGTCTGTTTATTTTCTATCTATCTTCTTTAGTTTTTGCTCAATACACAAAAGAGGTTAAAAAAAATCCTTATTTAAGGGCAATCACTCCTATAAAGAGTGACAGTTTACTAACTATATCAGAAAAAATTTAATTGTTTGTAGATCTTGCTGTGCTGATCATTTTTGCTATTTAAAGTTTCTATTTAACTATTGTAATTTTTTATCATATCAGGCAAAACACAAAGAAATGGTAAAAGTAGTCATTAAAGGGCAATAACTCCAATAAGGAGTCGTCAGATGATTTCCTCCATATTGTCTTATTTTAGATCTTGTCTTGCTGCTTTTTTTTGCTTATCTAAGTTACTATCTATCGATTATAATATTTAAGATATAGGGCAAAAATAGTCTTCAAAAAGCAATAACTCTAATAAGGAATCGACTGATGATTTTGACCATGAAGACTTATTTGTAGATCTGGTCTTGCTGATCATTTTTGCACTTTAAATTTCTCTGCATCTATTTCAGTTTTTCCAGATAATAGGCAAAATATAAAAAAAATGGTAAAATTTTTCATTTAAGGGCAATAGCTCCTATTACAAGTCCCCTGACAGTTTTGACGTAAATGGACAATTGGTAGAGCTCAACATTCTGAAAATTTCTGCCTCTGCCAGATTTTCTCGGTTTCAAAATTATAGACAAAACTTGCATTTTATCCTTATGTTCTATTTTTAGCCATGTAGGCCATCTTGGTTGGCAGGTGGGGTCATCAGACACATTTTTTATCTAGATACCCCAATGATGACCGTGGCCAAGTTTGGTTAATTTGGTGCAGTTGTTTCAGAGGAAAAGATTTTTTTGTAAAAATTAACGGAAGACGATGACGGACAACGGACGCCAAGTGATGAGAAAAGCCCAACTAGCCCAAAGGGTTCAAATGTCCCCTGCCAATGCACATATTTTGTCTGACAAAGAGCAATAATTACAACAAAAATTTTAGTTAAACTTTTAATGACTACAGGAGAAATGTTTAAGAAAACAGGAAGTTGGTGCATGACAGTCCACAAAGGCACTTAACAATTCATCACTGCCAACCTGTTAACCAAATATAAAGTCATTCTGTTCAGTAGTACTGAAGAAATGTGCAACCAAAATGTTCAAGTTCTTTCAACATATCAAAAATTTCAAAATATCGGCAAACAGGAAGAAGGTGTGCAAAAGATTCAAAAGTGCTCAAACAATACAACTCATCATTGTCAAGCTTCTAACCAAATATGAAGTCATTCTATAGGGTAGTACCTGAGACAAAAAATGAGACAGAAATATTTGTTGAACTAACAGATGGACTGTCAAGGTTTATACACTATAGGAGTGGGGAAATAATTATATTTTTTTGGTTGGTTTGTTTGAATTTTTCACAAAAAAGTACAAGAAATGCATGATATCGTTAAAAAGACAATTTTCCATAGAATTTCCAAAGGGATAATTCTGTAAAAAATAATTTATAAGCAATTTTTTATCAGACTCCTCCATGGCCTTGTTGATATAATATGTTATATAATTTTTTGTTTTCAAATTTGACAAGAAATGTAAATGTGACTGTGCTTACAAAGCCTTTTTCCATAGACTTTACATTTTAAAGGGACATACCTTATGTAAAAATAATTGATTGGCATTGACTACCTTAGAAGCTCAAGACATTGCTGATATAAAGCTTTGATTTAAATTTCATAAAAATCCAACAAAAAATGTCAATGAGAAAACTTACAATACAACTGTCCATATGCATGTACTGATTTTAAAACTGTTCCGAGACATTACTGATACAATTTTCATAAAAATCCCAGAAGAAATGTAGGCTTGAGAGCACTTACAATTCAATTTTCCACAAATTTATTTCCATGGGCCATTACTCCTATAAAAATAATTGATCATGACTGATTTTCAAACTTGTCAGAGACATTGGTCATTTAAAACTTTGATTTCAATTTCATAATTTCATTAAAATCTGCCAAGAATAGTATGTGTGGTATTTCTATGTCCCTCAAGGGAACAATAAATCTTCTTAAATAAGTAACAGTGTTAGCATAAACATGATAAGAGAGATTTAAGTTGAACTCTTAAAGGATGGAATAGTCCTCCTACTTACTTCATCACAGTCATCAGCTATCATGGCTTTGATTGCTTTACGAACTAAATGAGAACCTATAAAGTATCAAATTATCAACAATTATATGCAATACTTTATCTTGGTTCATGATTTAATATATTGATTTAAATTTAGTTATTTGAGTTTCAATTCTAAACTGATTGTATACATCACATGATGAAACTATAATTGTCACAATACAAGACTAACACCTCTCAAAAACCTGAACAGACTGACAGGCTCTGACATAGTTTACAATGTATTAGAATGGAACCATGTACAATGTATGTGTATCAAGTTACATGAACTTAACAAAGGGTAATCATCAGATCATCTGGTAAAGTACTGCTTTCTTAAACTCTAATCAAAGTGATAACAACTGGATTTCTTTGAAAATCAGAAGTCCAGACATAAAAAAATACGAACTGATTTGTTCAGACTGTTACAGGTATTCTAACGTAATAGCATACCTATTGAAATGAAAAGTCTTTCACAAGTTACTGGTATACTTTCTAAGCACACCTGATGATAGATTTTTTTAGGACGACTTTACCAGTTTTATATGCAGTATAGAGCTTTATTACTTATGTATACATGTTTTTTCCTTATACAGTATTAGATAGAAATTTATAAATGTATGTAGCATTCATTGAATATTAAAGACATTGAAGATGCTTGAGACTACCTTTATCTTTTTGTTTATACAATTGATTACCTATTTTTCTTCTTCTATAGTCTGAATCTACAGCTAACATGGCAATATATCCTCTTCGTACCATCTTTTTATGCATATCTAATTTACAAACTATAGCACCTACACATTTCCCTTCATCCACTGCCTGAAATATAATTACTACAGTGTAATAAAGATAGATACATTTATGGTTCATTTTGTTCGGGAATAATATATTATGTCCCTAATTTGTATTGAATTTTATTTACCATATCAAGTCTACCTGGTTTTAAACAAGTCGTATGTTTAAGACTTAAGATTGTAATTGAGACAACTATCCACCAGAGAACAAACAAGCTTAAGGACGGGGACAAGAATATGAACAACTACATGTATGGGGCATCTTACAGCCATCAACAACTTGACTGTAAATTAACTATGTGTAAATATCTGTTTTTGATTGTATTGTAATTTGTATGTGAGGGCCTCAGGGAAGATTAGTTTATTGTAACTAACTGAGTTTACCCTCTTTAAATAAAGAATTTATTATTATTATTATTATTATCAACAATGGGCAATACCAAACTAAATATAAGTAAGCTATAAAAGGCCCTGGCATCACAAAATGTAAAACCATTCCAACGAGTAAACCAAAAGCCTAATGTATATAATTAACTGTTGACACAGAGATATGTCTCGCCTATCGACAGAAAATAAATAAAAAAAGACAATCTGATGGACAGCAAAATTGGGTATCAATTCAAAGTCCCATGGACCATGACCTAGAGGACAGGGCCTCAAAATAGTCGTCGAATTGATATGTACTGATAGTAATGCAATTTTATAGAAAATATTATTGATCTATCACAAGTAGTTCCTATCAAACTAACTTGAGCAGAAAATTTAACATTGAAAATTGCTTATTAATTAAAAGCTGCTGGACAATGACATAGGGGGAAGGGCCTCGAAATAGTCTTCCAACTGATATGTACGGATAGTAATGCAACTTGATAGAAAATATAGTAGTTCAAACTGACTTAAGCAGAAAAGTTAACAATTGTTGACACCTCTGCCAACGCCACCGGAGACTAAAAGCGAGATAAACACTAGTCTGTTTTTGGCTAAATCATTTGTAGTTTCAGCATCTTTTCCGAGATTTTATCTTTAGAAATTTATATTTAATAGTTTTGAATTCTTTAACATGTAAAACAAATTGTGTTGTGAAATATATATAACATTCCTTCATAAACTGTTAACACAGAGATATGTCTTGCCTTTTTGTAATTTTGATAACGCAAATGTTGAAATTAAAATAGCAATACTTTAACATGTAAGTTATGCAAGTATTCAAAGTCAATGAACCATGACTGAAAGTACATAGCTAAACAATATCCATGGAAATGAGATGTGCCAATGCTAATACAACTGCATACCAAATACCATTGACTTATTATAAGTCATTCCCTTTAAACAAACCTAAACACAAACATTAACTTGTAAACTATGTAAAAGTTTCAAAGTCAATTAACCATGATGAGGGGGTGGGGCTATATAATCTCCATGGAAACAAGACTTGCAAATGCCAATAAATTTGCATACCAAATACCATTGACTTTTTATAAGTCGTTCCTTTTAAACAAACCTAATCACAAACTTATACATGTAAACTAAGCAAAAGATTCCAAGTCAATAGACCATGACTGAGGGGGTGGGGCACATACATGTATTCTCCATGGAAATCAGATGTGCTAATGCTTAAACAACTGCATACCAATTAACATTGACCTACCACTAATGGTTCCCCTTGAACTGATCTGACCTAATCACAAACTAATACTTGTAAACTAAGCAAAAGTTTCAAAGTCAATAAATGAATAAAACCATGACTGAGGGGGCAGGGCCAAATAATCTCCATGGAAATGAAATGAAATGTGCCAATGCTAATACAACTGCATACCAAATATCATTGACCTACCACTAGTGGTTCACCATAAACTAGACCTAATCACAAACTGATACATTGTTGATGTCAACCCCGCCGCCGGAAACAGCATACCTATGTCTCGCTTTTTGACTCCGTCAAGGCGAGACAAAAATGGTCATCAGTCTTACAATCATGTAAATGAACTAATTAGTTCTATTATAAAATTCATTAATTTGATGCTGTTTTTTATTTCCTTGTTCAAGTTAGAGGTCATCCTGTTGGTAGCTGCACTATGCAGGTTTTTTATTGCATGTTCTGGTTTAATTTAATTCTAGATGGGCAAAGGGGGAGATTTGTACAGACATAAAACTGATTTAACCCCACTGCATTTTTTCACCTGTACCAAGTCAGGCTATCTAGATATTGTTTTGTTCATTGTTACAACATGTTGTAAAGTCATATTTGTAAATAGAAGTCAGTGATTCATGTGGTCTGTAGTGGGTTCGTTTTTAGATTCATTTACAAAACAATGTAAATAATTTAATCCCTCTTCATTTTTTTTTTTAAATACATTTCCACATAAAAATCACTACATTACTTTTGCCATCAATTATTTTACTGGTAAGCACAGGTAAATTTTAGGACAGTATCATGATTAAATAATTTGCTTTAGATCATACATGTAATAAGTAATATATCAGTTAGAATGTTATAAGATGTACCTTGCATACCAGTGAGGACGTTGAACCAGGAAAGGGAGTTTTTGAAGGATTAGCTCATTCAATTATGCACATCTAATCATAAAACAATCACTAAATCCTAGAAGCATTAAAACAGTTAAAACAGTCAACAACTTTTAGTTTTAGGAAATGAATACAATCTGACACTTTAAACTTTCCCCATCCTGATTTTCTTTTGAAATGACTAATTTTTGTGTGCACCAATTGTCTTTTTTAGGAAATGGTACTTTGACATTCGTACTTAACTTACATACTGGCCTAATGTCATAACATAACAAAATCACAAGGGTGACTCTAAAACCCTAGCCTAAGTGGGTGTCCATTTGGTGTGTGGAATGTATAAATTCACAGCCACTTCTGTTCAGAATGGGGCATTAAATCTGATACAGTTTTGTACCTTGTGTAGTGATAGTGTCATGCTCTTTGTGTTAAGAACCCTGGCAACATTGTTGAACAAGAAATATTTGCCACTGGACATAAAGCAACAAACAATCAATCAATATGACATAAGAGGACTTCTAAAGATCACTTGTTTAATATAATTGATGAAAAATGGGTTTAACTGGACTTATGACCTCACATAAGATAAGAAATAAATTGAACAATATTTCCATTTGGTTTGTTTTTCAGTTAATTTTTTTCTACATGAATGCATATGTAACCTGTGTTACCTGTTAAATGAATATGCATAACAGTAAAATCTTGCCCACAATCATAATGTAATGCCCTCAATTGTTTTTTAATTAATTGTTTATCTCCATCTATCACAACATTTACAGTTATACATGTACATAAATTGAACCTTAATTAGTCATATATTATGTATATTATCAAAAAGAGTACAAGGTGTATGAAATCCTTTTACCTGATCAGTAATTTACTGAACTTTGGGGGAAACACAACAGTATAAAATGGAGCACAGTTTAATGCAATGGGATTCAGACTGAAGAGGGAAGGGTCCCTCTATTTTAGGGAATTAGCATTCTATATATATTTATCATCTTTGTTCATCAACTCACCAAAAAACAAAGCTTTGGCCAGTTGTGTATAAAATATCTATAGGTATAAATAGAATATGGTTCAGACAAGTCTTTAGTTATGAGTCTCATTATGTCTGGCATCTGAAGTTCTGATTCGTAAACAATATATTTTATTCCATCTACTACATCATTCTCTGGTTCCTCCAGTTCACATTTTTTAAGTTCCAACTGATTGAATGATTTGCACATGGAAGACTCATTGTCCTGAAAAGTATGGCTACTAACATCTACCTCATCATGAATTCCAGAACATGGACATTGGTGTGGTGATTCTGCAACTGATTTTGCATGTCTGACAAGACCATTTTCATGTTTATGTCTTATTTTACCATTGGGTACCTTAGGATCTTTACTCTCGTGATTTATGCAGTAAGGATCGTTTAGGGAGTCACTTTCAACAGTAATTTTATCAAGTTTCAGTAAATTATCTATCTGAGGTTTGATTGGAAAGCTGCTTCCTGAATCAGTTAACACTGAGCATATTTCTTCAGACATTTTAGAAAGATAGTGTGAACCAATGCATTTTGATAAGTCTATAAAATAGGGTTATTTCGTCTTGCTACATCTCAGTTTTTAGCTTAGAAGACACCTGTTTGCTATTTTGTCAGAACAGGTGCTTCCATGTTGCTGTGGACTATATACTTCCGGTGAAGTTGTTACGCTAACTTTCCCGAACCATTTCTCTCATTTTTGCTCAATTGAAAATAAAGTTCTTCTAAAATCTTGTAACTGTAACAAATTTCAATAAATTAATAAATAATTAGTAGAATGATATTATCTTCTAAAAGAAATGAAAACCAGAAAAAGGCACTATTTCTACGCGTTATCAGTTCATGTGGGATGTTGTTGGTCATTTCCGATTGTTTCATAAATCGAGAATTTTTTTGACATTAGGTACATTTATTATTATTTCATTATTTTAAGACAACCAAATGGACAGCTTCACATTGGAAGATAAAGTTATTTTAAGTTCAAAGCACAACTCTCATGAAACAATTGAAAACAAAAATCAAAATTAATTTCAATAAAAATACATGATGTATCTTGCAAGAATATTTCATATGTTTAATGGTCTTTAATGACAATAATGTGGGTAATGTATGGAAAAACACTTTTTTGTTCATTTTTTCACCTGATTTATTTTATACCATATCTGTTCAGTTTTAATCATTGTCAATCGTCACTTGGTCAAGTCTATTGACCTTGATGGTCATTTCATTTTAGAAGAACTTTATTTTCATTCTTGTATTGAAACTGTTAGTCATTACTCTTATTTAGGTATTGTAATAAAATGTAATGGTAATTTCAATTTAGCCATTAATACTCTTATGGAAAAGGCAAGAAAAGCCTATTTCAAAATAAAGAAAACTGTTGGTCTGAATAATCCATGTAGACTACTTGAAAAACTGATTGATACATTAATATCACCTATACTTATGTACTGTTGTGAAATTTGGGGTGTTTACTCATCCTTAAGGGACTCTGAACCCTTTGAAAAACTACACATTAAATTTATCAAAGAAGCACTTGGTGTTCATTGCAAGGCTTCAAATGATGCTTGTCGTGCTGAGCTTGGTCGAATACACCTAATCGCTATTTATTCCATTCCGGATAAGTTCTAAAATTACACAACTTTTTCATCCAGTTGACGCTATCTGGGACCCTGTTTAAACAATGCACCATGCATGATACTTTTTAATGAGACCTGTTTAAAACATCGTAAATACTTCAAACACAATATTTTTTTGACTATAATTTGAGTTCGAAAAAGTGGATCATAATCTATCAAAGTTTCCTATTGATCGCTTTCTAAATTTTTCCCTCCCTCAGCTCGTTACTGATGACCTTTGTTTGCGGCCTGTTGACCCAAACAGGAAGTTGTCTAAATGACTGTTTTTTCCGGATTGGACTAAATAGCGATAAGGTGTATTCCACTCAAGAATAAAATTATATTTTCAAGCATACATTTTTTAGAGCATATACTTTCATCAGAAAATACACTTGTAAATCAAATTTTCTGTGCAACAAGGTTGTCAAACCCCTGGATCAAAAAAACTAAATGCACTTTACAAAAATTAGGATATTCATATCTTGTAGAAAAAAGTTGTTTAACAAAGCAGCACTTGGGACAAGTAAAACAAAGAATTTATGATCAGTGCTTGCAAAATCAAAATGCAAACATACAGGAATCTTCTAAACTCAGTTTCTTTCGTCGAGTCTACAAAATGGGTCAAAGACCATCATATGTTGATTCACTAAACAATGTAAATGATAGAGCAGCAATATGCAAAATACGCATAAGTGCACATTCTTTAATGATTGAAAGGGGAAGACATCTCAACATTCCTAGAGAGGAAAGATACTGTCCTGTCTGTAAAAATGGGGAAATTGAGGATGAACAACATTTCTTATTACAATGTAATAGATTTACCTCAAAACGAGAAATATTAGAAAATAAAATAAATGTTATATTTAAAATACAGCGTAACATTACCACTGATGATAAAATATCTCTATTGGTTAACAATAGCTCAGCATTATTACTAAGACTGTCTTCCTCTTTCATATCAGAGTGTCTAAATATAAGAAATAGTGAACTAATATGAATCACCAATATGTAACTTTTCAATCTGTTATCATGTAACTTTTCATTCTACAATGTCAATTAATATAATTATATGTATGCAATAGGTCTTAACCATTTATTGTTAATGAGTTTGTGCCAATAAAATATTTGTATTTGTATTTGTATTTCATCATCTGTCGAGTGTAAATTGGTGTTCAATAGACTTTATTGCTAATTTTTGACTCTTGAGTTTGAACTATTGACGTCATACAGCAATCACTTTTCTCTTGTGACGTGAACATTTAAAGGAACAGCTTTGATGTCAAGTAAATTATAGAGGACAAATTGAGATAATTATGGTGTAATATGAGGCAGGTGTTACATTTGTACCTGTGAAGGGGACGAATCCATAAATATATTTCTTTTAATACTTAATGTTTTTACATATATTTTGAAGACTACAGAAAAATGTCATAATATAAGGTTATCAAAATTTGTTTTCATTTTACAAATTGTGACATGAAACCATTGAACCAAATTCAATTAAACTCTGGGTGAATTATCCTTAGAGTGTTTCGAATAAAGTTTGTGTTATTTTTCCCCTCAAAAAGTCACCAAACATGGCTGCCATAGCTAAAAATTGAACATTAGGGTAAAATGCATGAATACAAATACAAATATTTTTATTGGCACAAACTCATTAACAATAAATGTTTTAGACCTATTGCATATATATAATTATATTAATTGACATGGTAGAATGAAAAGTTACATGATAACATATCATGATACAATGAAAAGTTACATGATAACATATCATGATAGAATGAAAAGTTACATATTGATGTATCATATTAGTTCACTATTCCTTATATTTAGACACTCTGTCTGATATGAAAAAGGACGACAGTCTAAGTAATAATGCTGAGCTATTGTTATCCAATAGAGAGATTTTTTCATCAGTGGGAATGTTACGCTGTATTTTGAATATAACATTTATTTTATTTTCTAATATTTCTCGTTTTGAGGTAAATCTATTACATTGTAATTAGAAATGTTGTTCATCTTCAATTACCCCATTTTTACAGACAGGACAGTATCTTTCCTCTCTAGGAATGTTGAGATGTCTTCCCCTTTCAATCATTAAAGAATGGGCACTTATGCATATTTTGCATATTGCTGCTCTATCATTTACATTGTTTAGTGAATCAACATACATGACATATGATGGTCTTTGACCCATTTTGTAGACTTGACGAAAGAAACTGAGTTTAGAAGATTCCTGTATGTTTGCATTTTGATTTTGCAAGCACTGATCATAAATTCTTTGTTTTACTTGTCCCAAGTGCTGCTTTGTTAAACAACTTTTTTCTACAAGAAATGAATATCCTAATTTTTATACGACCGCAAAAAAAATCCGAAGACACATTAGTTTTCGCACTCTAACCTTAGTTTAAGTGAATGGATCTCTATGAAATTTGACCATAAGGTTCAATACCACAAAAGGAAGGTGGGGATTGATTTTGGAGGTTATGGTACCAACAGTTAAGGAATTGGGGGCCAAAAATAAGCATTTTTGTAACTTCCAGACATAACTTGTGTGTAAGTGTATGGATCTCTCTGACATTGTACCACAAGGTTCCATATCACAAAGGGAATGCTGGGATTGATTTTGGGGGTAATTGCCTCCAATTTTAGGAATTAGGGGCTTAAAAGGGGCAAAAAACAAGCATTTTTCTAGTTTCATGACAATAACTTGTGTGTAAGTATATGGATCTCTCTGACATTGTATCACCAGGTTCCATATCACAAAGGGAATGCTGGGATTGATTTTGGGGGTAATTGCCTCCAAATTTTAGGAATAAGGGGCCAAAAAGGGGCAAAAAACAAGCATTTTTTCTAGTTTCATGATAATAACTTGTGTGTAAGTGTATGGATCTTTATGACATTGTACTTCAAGGTTCCATATCACAAAGGGAAAGTTGGAATTGAGTTTGGGGGTAATTACCCAAAAAGTTTAGGAATAAGGGGCCAAAAAGGTGCCAAAAATAAACATTTTTCTAGTTTCCAGACAATAACTTGTGTTCAAATGTATGGATCTCTCTGAAATTGTACTGCAAGGTACCATACCACAAAGGGAAGGCTGGGATTGATTTTGGGGGTAATTCCCTCAAAATTTTAGTAATTAGGGGCCATAAAAGGGCAAAAAAAACAAGCATTTTTCTAGTTCAGGACAATAACTTGTGTGTTAGTGTATGGATCTTTATGAAATTGTACTGCAAGGTTCCATATCACAAAGGGAAAGCTGGGTTTGAGTTTGGGGGTAATTGCCCTAAACGTTTAGGAATTTGGGTCCAAAAAGGGGCCAAAAAACAAGCATTTTTCTAGTTTCCAGACAATAACTTGTGTTCAAGTGTATGGATCTTTCTAAAATTGTACTGCAAGGTACCATACCACAAAGGGAAAGCTGGGATTGAGTTTGGGGGTGATGAATCATAAGGGGGTTCAAAAAATTGGGGGGGATTTTTTTTTCCTTTTTTTTCTTTAAAATTTTCCATTTTAAATTGGTTATTTCTGATTTATATATAAAAGCAAATAATAATGATATGGTTTGAATAGGTAAATTAAAAATTTTTAAGTTCTTAGACCACTTTCATTCTGTGTGAGAAACCTATGCTGTGTCAAATATTTAATTACAATCCAAATTCAGTGCTGTATCAAGCTTGAATGTTGTGTCCATACTTGCCCCAACTGTTCAGGGTTCGACCTCTGCGGTCGTATCAAGCTGCGCCCCAGCGGAGCATTTTATTGTAAACTGCATTTTGTAGTTTTTTTGATCCAGGGGTTTGAAAACCTTAATTTTTTGTTGCACAGAAAATTTGATTTACAAGTGTATTTTCTGATGAAAGTATATGCTCTAAAAAATTTATGCTTGTAAATACAATTTTAATTTTGAGTGGAATTCGACTAAGCTCAGCACGACAAGCATCATTTGAAGCCTTGCAATGAACGAGGCTTAATGACGTAATGGGGGTACCTTCATGATGAATAACGGTAAAAAATCTTGCCAAATGACGTTAATGGTAATTTTTGGTGCATGACGATAAAATGTACACTTTCTTTAAGATGATAAAAAAATCGACTGATTTTGACGAATCACGTTAATTTTTTCCCAAAAATAACGGTAACGGCAATTATTTGAGACCTCTGACGAATCACGACAAGGATATTTTGACGAATCATGGTAAAATTTTTACCAATTTGACGCTAACTGTAGCCGAAAATGACCGTTTGACGCCTGTCGGTAAAAGGCATTTCCACTCTCATGAACACCAATTGTCTAATATCTTCAATTCTTGAAAATCAGGCTAGAGAAAATCTGACAGGGCAAAATAGTTAGATGGCTGTAGTCCTTATGCAGTTATTGACTTTAAATGAAAATTTTTGGCTATTTAAAATCTCAAAAACTAAAAATACGATAGGTAAAAACTGCTCGAGACAAAAATGCCAATAATGACTAAAACCATTGCTATTGGATAACTCCTTAATGAATATTATTGCTATTATATTAACAGTTTTGGACTTATTTTAGTGTCAGTCCAAGTAAACAATTTATTATGTAAGGAAAATGACTAATTAACAATTTTTGTTCATTACTATTTTTAGTGTGGAAACAATTTTTCTATAATTACAGACATCACTAATTAAAGGGGCACTTGCTACGAGATATATAAAAAATCTAATATATGATTTTTTTTTGTTCAATCATTAATGAAAGTGAAATAGTGAAATAATTATTCGCTTTTAGCCGCCAGTATGGTTCAATTTTGTCAAAATAAGCTAAGAAACATTGATGATGAATTATTCAGTTGCTCGTGAATAATTCGACCTCATTGAATCCGTATTCATGTGAACTTCAATTTAACCCCTTAGCTAGAGATGGATAACATGTGAATTGTATGTGTTAAGTTATTTAAAGGAAAAGAATGTCAACATTGAAAGTGAAACAAAGGTAAATCATTTGATTGACTGATCTGATCCACAAAAAATCATTCTTATACATGTAAAAACGATGATAAACATATATTTTTAATCTATAATATGAAATTAAACAGACCTAGAAAAATCCAATAGCATGAGTTCGCTTAATCTATTTATATCTGTATTTATTCATCGCTTATATGGTCATCAGATGACTTTGGAGGTCAACTCAATAGTTAATTAGATGGCGTCTAGACTAAAATACACACGAAACGAAGCTATGAGTTATCATGCCCATGTCCTGTTAACTGTTTATTTTCGACTTTTAATAGTTTGGATAAATGTTTTACATTGTTATAAATCAAATATGAGAATTTGAGTCAAATCAGTGAACATGAATTTGACAGCTAATGCCCCTTTAATAAGTAATTATTCAAACTATAGGTGTAACACCACCATTGATTTTCCCCTATAAGCATGATTAGTCTTTGTTAAATTTTGCACTTTTCAAAAAATTGTGCAGAATTTATCTTTGTTTCAAATAAAGAAATACTTGGCATGAGTAAAGTTTTATGTCAAGTACTATAGACAAAATTTCACATCACATTTCATTGCATATAAGAAAATAACCATCACTTGATGTTAACCAATCAAATTGTCACTCCTTTTTATACGACTGCAAAAATTTTTTGCGGTCTCATATTGGTATCACGTAGTCGTCAGCGTCCTCCGAAGACGTTTGGTTTCCGGACAATAACTTTAGTTTAAGTGTATGGATCTCTATGAAATTAAACCAAAAGGTTCAATACCACAAAAGGAAGGTCGGGATTGTTTTTGGGGTGATGGTCTCCATCGTTTAGGAATTAGGGGCCAAAACAAGCATTTTTCTAGTTTCAGGACAATAACTTGTGTCTAAGTACTTTGATTGCTCTGAAATTGTACCACAAGGTTCAATACCATAAGTAGAAGGTTAGGATTCATTTTGGGGGTAATTGCATAAACCGTTCAGGAATTAGGGGCCAAAAAGGGTCTAAAACAAGCATTTTTCTAGTTTTCAGACAATAACTTGTGTTTAAGTGTATGGATGTCTCTTAATTTGTACCACATTTTACAAAAAGAAATTTTCATCAAAATTAATTTGTTTGGAAAAGTGTGGGGGGGGGGGGGAATTCTCTACAAATATTATTTTTTTTGGAAGGGGTAAATTTCCAAAATTTCCAAAATATTCTATAGAAACACCAAACAGAAAAATAAGGGTGCTTTGAAACACCCAAGATAATGTTTATGACTCAGTAATTTTTTACTGCAATGAAATGTAGGATTAATTTCCTACAACTGTCAAATTCAAGGGAATATTTTTTTTCAACCCTTTTTCGTATGCAACCGGATGTGACGTACTATGCTTTGGTGGTATAACACCTATGACACAGATCTGTTTATTTTGCAATAATAAGCATGACAAGCTTTTTATCTGTATGAGTGTGGGTGATATGTTCTCTTAGCATGCTTAGGGTATATATTTAGCAATATGATTGTATAGCAAATAAATTTTCCAATTCAATATACTAATACACTACGTTTAAATGCATTTTTGTCAATCTTTGGATTGATTCAAACAAAGCTGAGAAATAAATAAGGTATAAAAAAATGTTTACCTATATATAATTATTAAAGAAAAGGAAGATCTTGAATGTATTGAACTTTTTTATCCTCTGAAAATGACTAAATGTTTATCTGTATAAAATATATGCATTTAGCAATAATACTATGAAACAACAGTTTTTATTTACTATTTTATGTAAAAATAAGCTTTAAAGTCATATTACCCAGCTAGTATTGCCCGGTAAAACCCATTTCAGGGAGTTTTGCCACTACCTTGGTCTTTTTGATGTATATCCCACATCTCCTTTTATTTATACTGTTCAGTAAAGGAAGTTTCTTCCATATTTATTTATTTATATATACAAAATTAATTGATATGATTTTTTTTTTCATTTTCAGTAGCTAAATGTGAACAATGTCAGAATCTGTAGGTCCTATTTCTGGAAAAGCAGACAGAGAAAAATGCTGGGGAGCTAGAGATAACTATTGGAACTGTTTATCCAGACATGAAGAGAAACTAGGGAAAGAAAAAGCCACAGAAAAGTGTGCAGAACTCAGAAAGCCATATGAATCATTTTGTTCAAAAACATGGGTACACTGTTATTTAATTCATATTTTTTTTGTATTGATAGTTGGAAAATAGATTGCATACATTTTTGTTTGAATGCTGTGAAACTTGAGATGCAAATAATCATGATTTAATTACACTTGGAAATACTTACTGGCCAAAGGAAATACTGTAAACCATCTTATTTTTGCAGACACTTTATTTCACATTTAGGCCATTCCAGCCGATTTATATTTATGATTTTCAAGTTTTTATGATGTTTTCATAAAAGGGTAGATCAAAGTTTCAAGTATTTGTAACTATTAATTTACGCATTATTTTTCTACTTGTGAAAGTCGCAAAAATAAATCACTTGTGAAAATAAGTTGGTTTACAGTATTAAATTATTATTTTTAAAATAGTTTTAAAATTAAACATTATTTAATTTTATTATTTTGTATATTCTAAATAATTTGATTTGGTCTGAAAGAGTCACATGTTTCACTTTATTTTCAAAGGTAGACTGAAAACTGCAGATTGGAAAGTGATGTCGCATAATTGTTTTTAAAATACAACAATATATCTAAATATAGAAATCTAAAAACCTCAATACTTTCTTATGCAATGTAACAACCAATCAAATGAATTTCTGCTCTATTTCCAATGCATTGGAAATTATAATTTAACAATTAAAGCCTTGGTATGAGGTTGATACGAGGATGTATCTACAAAAAGAAGTTTATCGACCTTGGACTTTGTCCTCAGTAGATATACTTCTTTCAGGTCGACACATCCTTGTATCAACCTCATAAAAAGGCTATAATTGCATAGTATTTGCAAAGTTTGTAAAATAACAATATGCCAGTCATCTAACTCTAAAATGGGAAACCATTTTTAGGAGGGGGACTTGTAAAAATATCTCATATTGACTCTTGTCGCCAGGAAAGGTCAGTTTTCAACCTTCTGTGAAAAAATAGGCCCATATGAAATAGAGTAAAACATTGAAATACATATCACTCAAGTTGATAAAATGAACAATCACCCAATCACAGGTAGAAAGTTACCATTTCCTTTTTTGCCATGGTTACACGTGGTTTTAAAAATGGGAATTTCTTATCTTATAAAAGAAATGGGAGTGACAATTTGAAAATTAACCATTTCGACAAATTTTTATTGTTTGACATGTTTGAAAAGAAGGTTTGAAAATTTAAATTGCACACATGCAAATGAATAATTGAAACATAAAAAATAAAAGAAACTTTATCGAGATAAAATTAATTTTTGAAACAAAATTTTGAGAATCAAACAGGTACTTTAATATGAATTTGTTTTCTCAACAAATTTTCTAAAATTCTTATTTTGAAATGCAGAACTATTCAGTTTCTTTTTATAATTTCAGGAAATTCAAATAAATAATAGTTTTCCTGAATTTTTCAAAACTTTAAAACTTGCAGTTTGATTACTAACATTTCAAATTACAATAATTATAGATATGACAGTTTAAACAGAATACCAATATTTTATTAAAAAAAAGGAAGAAAAAAAACTTTTGATTCTTCTTTTGAAAATAAAAAGTTCAGTCGTGGACCCTCTGTACACATTCAGGTTGTTAAATCATATTAAGTTCCGATTCAAAATGCATTTTAGAGGGGTCCCATTGATTTCAAAATTATAAATAGATTTACCAATATAGTCATGTTCATTTATCATTGCAAAATTTTAGCAACTTGTTTGGTACTGTCATTGTTAAGATTCAATATAATGAAGTTGATCTAACACGGGTCACTATATTTTGTTCAACACAACATTGTCAGTATAATACTCTGACCAAACTTGATATTAAAATACACTTGTTCAACAACCCCTCATCAACAGTCTGTTTTCAAATCATATTGGATGCATCACAGCCTTTCATTAAAACATACTTCAAGAGCAATGTTTTGAAATTTTTTTTTTATATTTTCAGGTAAAACATTTTGATAGACGAAGAGAATATTTAAAATTTCGAGCAAAAGTTGAATCTGGAGAAAACCCTTTACCAGAAGAAAAAGAGTTCAAAATTTCAGGATATAAACCAGAATCATCATGATGTTGACTGATGTAATTTTATGTGATATTGTAAATATTTCATGTATTATACAGATAGCTAAAATATCAAATAAATTGTTCACACACTGGCCAGGGCCGTAAAATTGAACTTGTTTAATAGGAGGCATTATAATGTGCGGGGGCCTGGGGAACGAACAGACCCAAGATGTTGAGCAGTTTCCCCTGGAGATATTTTGACTTGATTTCAGAAAAAAAACTGTCAAACCTCATAATTGAAACTGCTCTCTACATAACTGATAATATTTTTCATATACCAAATTCACATTCTGATATAAAGTTTGGTGAAGATATTTTGAGCATTGAGCATCATGTGTCAAAGTCTTAATTTCGTTCTTACTAACTTGCTGTATTTTCTCGTATCTGGAGAAATGATTTAGCTAGTGTTCGAACTTGGTCATAAGTCTTCACAAGGTCACAGTGTTTAGATGCAAGTTCTATGGACAGCAATCTTACCCAAGTACGTAGATAGATATAGGAAGATGTGGTATGAGTGCCAATGAGACAACTCTCCATCCAAGTTACAATTTATAAAAGTAAACCATTATAGGTCAAGGTACGGCCTTCAATACGGAGCATTGGCTCACACCGAACAGCAAGCTATAAAGGGCCCCAAAAAATTACTAGTGTAAAACCATTCAAACGGAAAAACCGACGGTCTAATCTATATAAAAACGAGAAACGAGAAACACGTATGAACTACATAAACAGACGACAACTACTGTAATCAGATTCCTGACTTAGGACAGGTGCAAACATTTGCAGCGGGATTAAACGTTTTAATGGTACCAAACTTTCTCCCTTTTCTGAAACAATAGTATAACATCACAACATAGAAAGACACACCATAAAATATCAATTGGAAGGCTTAATTCAATCAAAAAACGTAAATTAACACACAATGAACGATTAAATTTGATCTGTGATACCTGAATGCAAATACATAGTTAATAAAAATTATAATAAATACATTTGGTAGGTTCTGTAATAGAGGCGTCCGGGATTAAGGTCGGAGAAACTGTTTTATATAAAATTTTGAAAGCATTTGGAACTCATTGAACTGCATATGAATATCTAAAAAGTGAAATGTGTATATTTTCAGAGATTATATCAAATCAGACATTTTGAAAAGGATCTATAAAGGTATAGAATGAATGTAAAAAAAACATTGATTAAATACATTGTATGCATCTTGAATTTCTCGAAGTTTCAGCCACAAAATTCCACGGATTTGTTTTCAAGTTCAGTAAAATTTCAATAACATGTGCAGTCTCGGTATATACAGTGACAAAAGCGTAACGTCATGCTGTCATTTATCATATTTTTTCAAAATGATTTTAAAAGATTACAAAAACGATCTGGTAACATTTTTTCATATCATTAAACCAAAAATGTTCACAACGATAACATATAATTTAAAACAAATTATGTTAACGAAACTATGAGAAATCACAATTTTAATCGAATGAAATGCATTTTTTTCGGGGCTTTTTAATTCTTATTTTCTAGGTTCTCTATTTGAGACTACAATAAATACCTCTGGTTCTATTTATAAAGTTCTAAACAGATTGTATCTGTAGAATCTATATGTTAATGATACATGTACTATTTGTTTAATATTCAGATGAAGTTCAACAAGATTTAAATGCATACCAAATTTCGTATAAATCCGAAATATCATCTAATGGTGCGTACTTCGCCTTAATAAGTTGATGCATCTTACTTGTCGATAGTATTTTGGTTTGAACTATATATTATGTATATTGTTAACCTGTCCATACTGTTTCAACAGCCAATTTTGTGTATTCGTTTGTGATCTCTATCTAGTTTTTGTGTCCTGGTTGAATATGCATTCTCCTTTCTCATGCATCAACGTAAATTCAACGGCGACTTGGCATTTATCTTCATAACAGGGTCCTTATATTGTTACGCTTACGTGACGCATTGATGATCGTGATTTTACCTAGAATTGCAACAAGAATTCTTAAATCTATGAGTGACTAAGTGACTGACAACTGTTGACAAGGACAAGATTATGGCAGTACAACCGACAGGGTACAAAAAAATGTTCTACTTCGCATTTGGAAGTATTGAAAAATACTCATCTTGACATGTTCAGCTTTCAATCTGCATTAGGTTTTGTTATACTAAATTCGAAATGCCATGTGACAAGTTTTTTTTTTTTGTGGATTGTCAAGACTAATGCCAAGACAGTTTTTTGAAAGCATAATGAATAAAATTTGTGAATGGGGTTTGACATGCATGTTTAAGAGGTCATGGGGCACGATGGATGTTACACGGTTTAAGAACAGGCATACAGTGTCAGGATAAGAACGCTCAAATAATATATCATTTTTGTTTCGATTTTTATTTTTATGGTCGGCTTGCAATAGGAGGCAACTGCCTACATGCCTCCACGTAATTTACGGCCCTGCTGGCATGGCTATAAATGGCATACATAGCATTTCCCAAAGTAGGTGTAGGTAGGTCTGGACAAAGGGCTTTCACTCCAAGCAGATCCAGGACAAAACCCTGGTATGAAGTCTAAAGGGAAACAGAGCCTTGATAGTCAAATTATTAAGCATATTTTGCTAGTAATGAATAACTACTGAAATTTTTATTATTGTGATCCTTATTCTGCCGCTGTTTTTGCATTAATAAAAACACCGGAATTATTTCTGAATTTACAGTATTAATAGGTGACATTTCATGATAAAAGAACAGCAGAGTAGCTTGAACATGAACTTTAACTAAGATTTGAAGCAGGATGAATGAACCAAAACAGAATATCTATACTTCTCCCTCATTTTGCAGGTTTGTACTCTATGGTTTTCTGAATGTTGGTATTGTTTCTGTATTTTACAATGAATTTCAGCCAAATTATATTAAAATAAGGAGATGTGGTATGATTGCCAATGAGATGAATATCCACCAGAGACCAAAGGACGAGGATGTAAACAACTATAAGGCACTGTATGGCCTTCAACAATGAGCTAACCCTTTTATAAAGATTCTGTTACAGTCTGTTATATGTTGATATAACCATGCACCTGTTTTCTTCAATACAAAGATGTATATTTATCCACATCTAGCAAAGACTGTCACTCAAAATTTGAAAAGCATTGGTTGAACATAAAGTGACATTTTCTTATCTATCAAGAACCATAATTCCTGAACAAATAAAGTGTAAATTGTCAATATCAAACTTGACCTCCATTTTGTCATTAGGAACGACAAATTAAAATTCCAAGTATTGGTTGAACAGTTCATAAATTATTGCACAGAAACTGATGGCAGCCCTGTACTTCTCCATTTAATCACCGTTTTTCCTTAGGAAACTTATTTAACAAGAGCACACACACTGAAATGTCTCGCCTGCCTAACTTGTGATTAAATTTATGTTGAACTTCTATTATATGAAGGTTTTACTACAAGCATCACATAAACATAACATTATCAATGATCCATGAAAATGAGATCAAGGTCAGATGAATCATGTCAGACAGACATGTGCACTTTACAATCATTCCATACACCAAATATAGTAGTTCTTCTGCTTATAGTACTTGGAAAACTGACCAAACCACAAACACTTAACATTGACCAATGAACCATGAAAATGGGGTCAAAGTCATATGAACCCAGCCAGTTGGACTTGTACAACTTATAATCATTCCATACACCAAATATAATTGACCTATTGCTTTTAATATCCGATAAACTGAAAGAACCAGGAAAAAATTAACATTGACCAATGAACCATGAAAATGATGTAAAAGTCATATGAACCCTGCCAAACAGGCATGTACACCATATAATTCCATACACCAAATATATTTGACCTATTCGTCACATCTGATCAACTGACAAAACCATGAAAAAATATTGACCAATAAACCATGAAAATATGGTCGGTCAAGGTCATATGAAACCTGCCAGACATATAAACCTCACAAACATTCCATACCCAAAATATAGTGGCCCTATTGCGTATAGTATCTGAAAAACAGATTAAATCACAAAAACTAAACATAAAGGTCAGATGAAATCTGCCAGTAAGACATGTATGGCTCATTCCATACACCAACTATAGAGGTCTTATTACTTATAGTATCTGAGATATTGACTTGACCACATAAATTTACCTTGATCACTGATCCATAAAATGAGGTCAAGGTCATGTGAACCCTGTCTGACAGACATGTAGACCTTGCAAGGAAACCATCTACCAAATATACATGTGGTTATGCTTTTACTCATAATAAGAGTATTTCAACAAAACAATTACAATTTTTTTTGAAGCAGACGTCTAACCATGAAAATGACATCGGGGACGATGGACACATGACAGAGGGAAACTTTGTAACATAAGTTATCTGCATACAAGATATGAAGCATCCAGGTATTCTATATTTCTGAAATATAAAGCTTTATACAAATCTTTTACGCTATTGCCAGATTTTAAATTCTATTTCTAGCATTCTGCGACTTTCATCGCAGGAGAGATAAAAATGAATGCCGACCACTGAATTTTAAAAGAGGTGAAGGTCCGACATGTTCATCTTACAATCATTATATACACCAAATGAAGCTGACATTTAACTAAATTTGACAGTTTTGATGTAAAAATGGACAAATCAAAATGATGTAAAATGGTCAACTCCACATGATGGCACACAGTGGTACCAAATATTATGGGGCCTGATGGGTTATTTTCGTTCTTCGTGATCGGCGCATTTTCGCTATCGTGATCCGTTTTACTACAGATTTTTTTTTTTTTTTATATTTTCGTGATCCGTGATCATGGAAATTTATTTTCTGTGAATCGTGATTGACAAAAAAATCAACTCGTGAATCGTGATGAGACCTCCCCATCAGGCCTCTCAAATATGAGTGATTTCTTTCAACTGGGCTCCGAGGAGTTGTTTTCACAAGGTTGATTTTTTCTTCAATACTAAAAAAAAAAGTCATTCCCACTCCTATAAATATGGTCAAATTAAAAATGTGCTATGATATGGTCAGCTACACATGATGGAAAACAATAGTATTATGTATGAGAGCTTTCTGTC